GTCCCTCCCTCCCCTTCCCCCGGGGCCGGCCCCTGCCTGTGTCCCCTGCGTCGAGGGGCGGCAGCGTGCTGCCCCTCACTCCTCCCAGTTTCCTCCGACAGAGGCCCCGCTGCGGATGCTTCACATGGACGTGTGGGGCCCAGCCCGCGTCTGTGGACAGGGTCACGAGCGCTACTTCCTGCTGGTGGTTGACGGCTACTCGCGTTACACCACAGTCTTCCCCTTGCGCAGCAAGGGTGATGTCACTGAGGTGTTGATCGACTGGATCCGCGCAGGTCGTCTCCAGCTCAGGCAGAGCTTCGGCTCGGACTTTCCTGTTCTGCGTCTGCACTCTGACCGAGGCGGAGAGTTCTCCTCTGGCCTTCTGCGAGCCTACTGTCGTGCATGAGGCATCCGCCAGACCTTCACGCTTCAGGACTCTCCACAGAGAAATGGGATTGCTAAGCGCCGCATTGGCATGGTCATGGACGTCGCCCGTACGTCCATGATGCATGCGGCTGCCCCCCATTTTCTTTGGCCGTTTGCGGTTCGGTACGCGGCGCATCAGATCAACCTTCAGCCCAGGGTCTCCATGCCGGAGACCTCCCTAGCTTTGTTGTGGACCGGGAAGGTTGGCGATGTGTCTGCGTTCCGTGTCTGGGGATCTCGGGCGTTTGTCCGCGACTTGTCTGCGGACAAGCTGTCCCCTCGTGCTACTCCTTGCGTCTTCCTTGGCTTCCCCCCTGACGCGCCAGGGTGGCAGTTCTACCACCCCACCTCTCGCCGTGTTCTGTCCTCCCAGGACGTCACGTTTTACGAGTCGGTCCCCTACTACCGCCTCTTCCCCTACCACACTCCGTCCCTCCCCCCGCCACTGCTCTTCCTAGTGCGAGGTCCCCCCCCGGTAGACCCCCTCCCCCCTTAGGGTCCTGCCCCTTTAGGTGTGTCCCAGGTAGACACAGTCGAGCCTGTCGAGGTTGCTGGTGACTTTGGTGCTGCTGAGGGTGCTGAGCCTGGCGGTGCTGAGTCTGGGGGTGCTGAGCGTGTGGGTGCTACGCTTGGGGGTGCTGAGCCTAAGGGTGCTACTACTGGGGGTGCTGAGCGTGGGGGTGCTGAGCCTGGGGGTGCTACGCCTGAGGGTTTTGAGCCTGGGGGTGCTACGACTGGGGGTGCTGAGCCTGGGGGTGCTACGCCTGGAGGTGATGAGCCTAGGGGTGCGGAGCTTGAGGGAGTTGGGCCTGCTCGTCTGGCGTCTGGCGGTACTGTGCCTGAAGGTACTCCGGGTGCTTCGTCTTGGCGGGAGCCACTCTCTCCACAGGAGCTGTGCGAGTGGTTTGCCCGGTGCTAGAGGCGTGCTGCTGGAGCTGGAGGTTCTTCGGCTACTGAGGGTGCTGGTGTCGCGGGTCCCGGAGGTGCTCGTACTGGGGAGAAGTGGAGTTGCTCGGCCTTCTGGTACGTCTGGAGCTGGAGCTGCTGAGGGTGTTGGCGCTGAGGCTACTACTGCCGGTCCTGGCGGCGGTCCTGGTGGGGGTGCTACTGGTACTGCTGGAGGTCCTGGAGCTATTGGAGCTGCTGGGTGTGCTGGAGCTGGAGGTGCTGCTGGCAGTGGTGCTACCACTGGGGGTACTGGTGCTGTCCCTGCTCTGTCTGGAGTCGTCGCTTGGCTTCGGCCGTACTTCGTTCCGCTCCTTCAGCAGGTTCTTGGTCTTCCGCCTTCTACTGGTCCTCCTCCTCCCTTAGAGTGTCCACAGCCTGTCCCGTCACAGTTACAATTACAGACAGCCTCCCCACTGCCTTCTCCTTCTCCCTACACTGGTCCTACTGGAGGTCTTGCTGAGCGACGTGACCCTGCGTCTCGCCCTGCGTCGCCTGTCCGTCCTGCTCGCACTAGTGGTCGTGGTTCGCGTCAGCATCCTCCTCCTGTCCCTGGCATGCACCGGATGTCTCTGCTTCCATCCACTGCTCCTCTGCGTGCCCCTTTGCCTTCTCCTCCTGAGTCCTCTCTTCCTGCTCTTGCCGACCCGGAGTCGGACTCTCTTCGTGCTGCCAGTCCTACTGTCACGCGTCTCCTTGCCACTGTCGTCACTGATCCCTTGAGTCCACTGCTGCGTCTGCCCTAGTTGCTGAGCTCGTCGACTTTGCTGCTTGTTGTCGTCTAGACTACGGTGCTAGTCTTGTCGCTGAGTCTGAGTCTGTATGTCCTCCGCCCGTCGGGGGTGAGTGTGCCCTTGGCACGGACGTCCTTGAGGACAGGCAGGAGGAGTTCCAGTGTTTGGCTGCTACTTCACCTCATCTCGTGTCCGTACTGCTTACCCCTGAGGGAGACCCGGATCCACTTGACATCCCGACTCCGCGCTCTTACGCGGAGGCGATAGAGGGTCCCTACTCCTCTCAGTGGCAGGCAGCTATGGACACAGAGATGGCTTCCTGGAAGTCCACAGGCACCTACGTTGACGAGGTTCCCCCGCTTGGGGCAAACATCGTCAGTGGCATGTGGATTTTCAGGGTGAAGCGGCCGCCGGGTTCTCCGCCTGTCTTCAAGGCGCGTTACGTGGCTCGTGGTTTCAGTCAGCGGCAAGGAGTTGACTACTTTCAGACCTTCTCTTCCACCCCGAAGATGACCACTCTTCGGGTACTGTTGTACATAGCTGCTCACCGTGACTATGAGCTGCACTCTCTTGACTTCAGCACTGCTTTCTTGCAAGGTTGCCTGCACGAGGAGATCTGGCTGCGTCGCCCACCTGGCTTCACTGGGTCTTTTCCTCCCGGCACCCAGTGGAGCCTCCGGCGGCCAGTCTACGGTCTCCGCCAGGCACCACGTGAGTGGCACGACACACAAAGGACTACACTTGCGGCTCTTGGGTTTGCTCCCTCTACTGCCGACCCGTCCCTGTTTCTGCGCACCGACACTTCTTTGCCGCCGTTCTACATCCTCGTGTACGTCGACGACTTGGTCTTTGCCACAGCGGACACTGCTGGACTCGCCCACGTGAAGTTCGAGCTGCAGAAAAGACACACGTGCACAGACCTGGGTGAACTGCGCAGCTACCTTGGCCTGCAGATCACCCGGGACAGAGCACGCCGCACCATTACCCTGACTCAGTCACACATGGTGCAGCAGGTCCTTCAGCGCTTCGGCTTCACGTACTCCTCGCCTCAGGCCACTCCTCTGCCTACTCGCCACTCGCTCTCAGCTCTGCCTTCGGATGAGTCCGTAGAGCCGATTGGCCCGTACCGAGAGCTTGTTGGCTGCCTCATGTACCTGATGACCTGCACACGACCTGACCTTGCGTACCCTCTTAGCATTCTCGCACGCTATGTTGCTCCTGGGAGACACAGACCAAAGCACATGGCTGCAGCGAAGAGGGTGTTGCGCTACTTGTGCAGTACATCGAGCATGGGGCTTGTGCTTGGAGGGCAGAGTCCAGTGGTCCTCACTGGGCACGCAGACGCTTCTTGGGCTGACGATCAGGCTACGCAGCGGTCATCACAGGGTTACACCTTCAGCCTTGGTTCCGGCTCTGTTTCGTGGCGGGCTACCCGCTCGTCTTCTGTTCTCGTCTCCAGTTGTGAGGCTGGGATCTACGCAGGAGTTTCGCTAGCTCACCTACCTGCTGACTGACCTCGGAGAGCCGCCTCATTCTCCTCCAGTGCTGTACGTAGACAACAAGGCCATGCTGGCCTTGTGTCGAGAGCAGAGACTGGAGCACAGAACAAAGCACATTGCTCTTCGCTACTTCCTTGCTCGTGAGCTACAGCAGTGTGGTCCGCTGCGCCTTGCGTACGTGGCCTCTGAGGCCAACACTGCTGATATCTTCACCAAGGCGCTTGCGCCTTGTGATCATCAGCGCTTCTGTATTCAGCTGGGTCTTGTGCCTGCCTTGCCTCACTTGCTCACCACTTGACCTTGTTTGTAGTGTTACATATATATATACACCTGCTCTTGCTTGTCTAGCCTTACATATATATGTGTAATCCTGCATGTAAACTGGCCTTGTGGCCTTGAACTTGTGCTCGGAATGTGTGGTGACTTTGTGATCCACCCTGAGCTTGCTTTGATTTGCTTGACTGGTCTTGTGACCCCTTGTTCTCCCCCACTTTGCCTATGGGGGTGTGTCAGATTTATATGACATAGCTGTTGTAGGCTATAGTGGGGTAGCACATACGGGGTACGACTTTCTAGGGTTTGTACTTGTACCCAACTTTCCCTTAGTCAATTCATTCTCGTTCATTTTCTCAGGGGGTAGTGTAAGGAATTTTCCTTGATTCCTTATCGAGTTGACTGCTACGCGTACAGCCCGATTTTCGGACTTCGCACGTTCGGCTGATTTCAACGCTGCCGAGGCTCCTCGCGTTGCCTTCGGCATTTTCCATTGCCAATCCTGCACCCCAACCTCGCTTGCCCGAGGTTTCCTCCTAGCTAGGCCAACCCCTACATTAGTCTGTGCCTTCATTGTATTCTCATTTGAGTTAATCACAGTCTCGTTATGCGTTTACCTGCGCACTCTCTTTTACAACTCATAACAATGGAGCTGAACAATTGCTGCAAATTTATAGATATACTTATAGCCATGGCGTAACTGCTGATCCTGGTGAGAATGTATTCCCAGTCGGTGAGCTCAAAGGCGATTTATAGGTGGCTTTCCACCATCGGAATGGCGAGGCGGAAGGGACAAAGCCAGGAATTCCCTTTCTCTCCCGCCTTCCATTCCCCCCTAGACTGTTCCCCTGATCCCCTTTCCGCACCTTCCTTACCCCGCACTTTCTTCCCCGCCCCGTCGTTCCCCGCACTTTCCCCTCCTCTCCCTCCTTCCTCTACTCACAAACAACCCCTTTCCCCCTCGTCCCGCCCCCGCTTCTCCTCCCTTGCCCATCTCCCAACCCTAACTCAAATCTGCTCCTCGTTCCATAGTCTCTTTCTTTCCTTCCCTTCTCTCGCGGAGTGGGACCGAGTAGGGTAACACTTAGCAGGAACATCAGTAGCGCGCACCCATCCCGCACTATTATACCCAGCAGCAGCCATGGCGACAGCAGCGGCTCGTCCGCTCGTGACAGTTCAGCCGTACGACGAGGCCGGCGCGCCGCAGCAGGCGGCGCTCCCCGCGGTGTTCCTCGCGCCGATCCGCAGCGATGTCGTTAAGTTCGTGCACGCGATGGTTTCGATGAACAAGCGCCAGCCGTACGCCGTCAGCACCAAGGCCGGCCACCAGACGTCCGCCGAGTCCTGGGGTACCGGTCGCGCCGTGTCGCGTATTCCCCGCGTTCCCGGCGGCGGTACGCACCGCGCGGGACAAGGAGCCTTCGGTAACATGTGTCGCGGCGGTCACCTGTTCGCGCCGCTCCGCATCTGGCGCCGCTGGCACCGCAAGGTGGATATTCTGACTCTTTCCCCGCTAAAGCAGATTCGATATAGATACGGGGAAGAACATGCGGTTAGTTCAGTGATGCCTACATTAGGCTCGCGAGGTAGTGAGGCATGCGAATTCCTCAATTTTAGGACCGGTTTTCTCTCCGCGCGATTACGGGCTTGCGATCGCGCTAGGTTTCTGGAGCTACGAGTATCTGAAACCTGGGTATCAGGGCTAGGTGTAGATTGCACGGATTTCCACGAAGATCGCAGGAGATGGTTCTATCAAACGCACGAAGCAGGTCTGTTGACGCGATACAAGCGATGCTGAAAAATAATGTCGCGCGTATCTACACCAAATCATGTTGGGGAGGTTGACCGCGCTCGGTCTTATCTGCGTCATGAGGGGATGAAATTAAGCAGGAGTGTTTTCACGTGGCTAGACTCAGCACTCCCCTGTGGCTTTCCTCCTCCTCACAGAAAGCGCGGAATGCGCGCTGTGTTCATGACGAGAGTCGTCACGCGCCGTTCCAAGCTGTCGTCTAGCTTGACCCAAACCATGCCCTGATCTTAACTATCCGATATAGTAAGGTCGCTTCTGAATGTTCGATGTCCATGCGACCAACGCGTTGGTTGCTCTGTCATAGATCGTTAGCATGGTAGCGTGAGGTGTCGACCAGCTTGTTCGTGCCCTTCGCTAGCATTTCCCGTTAGATAGGCATAAGAATTCGTTGGCCTCCGCAAGTTGCACGTTTTCCATCGAGGAGTTTCGCAGTCAAGGAAAAACCTAGATCAACATTTTCATCTTCATGTGTCGATCTTAACGCCGTCGCGGCTTAAACATTCGGAACCCCGTGTCACATCCCTGGGTACCCCAACTCCCCTCACTCCCCCCGCTTCCCCCACTCTCCCCTTTCCCCCGTGCCCCCGCAGGTCCCCATCAAGATGCGCCGCCATGCGGTCGCCTCCGCCATTGCCGCTTCCGCCGTGCCCGCGCTCGTCCAGGCGCACGGCCACGCCGTCAGCAAGGTACGCAGTGACGTCAGCATGGTAAGACGCTCTGACGTCAGCAATAAAGTACCCACTTGCGTTTTCCCTCCCTCCCCCCTCCTCATCTTCTCCATCTCCCCCTGTCCCATCATTTCCCGCGCGTTTCCCCTTGTCCTCCCGCTCCCCCATGCCCGCTCTTTCTCTCTCCTCCCTGTCCCCGTTCCCCCCCTGCTCCCCATATCTGTTCCCCCCTTCCTTCCCCTTTTTCCCTCTGTACACCCGTCAATCACCCTTAATGCATATCCCCCCTGTCCCCCCGCTCCCCCCTGTCCCTCCTCCACCCCCCTCCGCCCTTCCCCCTTCTTTTTCTCTCCGCGCGCGTCAGGCGCCGGAGCTGCCGCTGGTGGTGGGCAACGAGATCGAGGCGGTCGAGAAGACCTCTTCCGCGCTCCTCAACCTTCTATCCTCCCCCTCTGTCCTCCTGTCCCCTCTGTCCCCTCCACTCCCCCCGCTCCTCCTTCCCCACCATCCCCCCCCACTCCTCCGCAGGCGCCGGAGCTGCCGCTGGTGGTGGGCAACGAGATCGAGGCGGTCGAGAAGACCTCTTCCGCGCTGAAGGCGCTGAAGCGCATCGGCGCGTACGATGACGTGGCGAAGGTGATTTCGAGCAAGAAGATCCGGCCCGGCAAGGGCAAGATGCGCAACCGGCGGTACCTGAGCAAGAAGGGCCCGCTCATCGTGTACGGCACGGACGGCGCCAAGCTCACCAAGGCCTTCCGCAACATCCCCGGCGTGCAGGTGAGCGCGCGAGAATGGGTGAGGGGAGGGGACGAGCAGGTGAGCGCGGTAGGGTGAGCGCTAGAGCAGGTGCTGAAAAGAAAGGGGAATTTGTGCAATTGGCTGATCCCTTGCCTTCCCCGCTTCTACCCTCCTCTCCTTCCTTCCTACCCTCATACCCTCTGACCCACCTCCGCTCCTTCCCTCATCGCTTCCTCTCCGCTTCTCCTCTTTTCATCTACTCCTCCCTCTCTCCCTCGGCCCCTCCACTCCTAGCCCCGCCCGCCTCCGCTCCTCGCCCCGCCCCCCTCCCGCTCCCTTCCGCACCCCGCTGTGCGCCCAAATCGACCAGGTGGTGGCGGTGGAGAAGCTGAGCGTGCTCGACCTGGCCCCCGGCGGCCGTGTCGGGCGCTTCGTAATCTGGACGCAGAGCGCGTTCGACAAGCTCGAGGGGCTCTTCGGGTCGTTCTCGCATCCAACCTTCTTCCTCCCTCCCTCCCTCCCTCCCTCCCTCCCCCTTCTTCTTTCGCTCCTCCCTCCCCTCCTTCCCAACTCCCCCCCTCCTTCCCTCCCGTCCCCGCCTCCCCTTCTCTCCTCTCTCCCATCCCGCTCTCCCGCTGTTCTTGTTCTCCGCGCAACCAGGTGGTGGCGGTCGAGAAGCTGAGCGTGCTCGATCTCGCCCCCGGCGGCCGTGTCGGGCGCTTCGTAATCTGGACGCAGAGCGCGTTCGACAAGCTCGAGGGGCTCTTCGGGTCGTTCTCGCAGGCGCCCACCATGAAGCGCGACTTCCTGCTGCCGCGTGCCGCCATTGTCAACTCGGACATCACGCGCATCATCAACAGCGACGAAGTGCAGGTGCGGGCGCGGGGGGTGGTATGAAGGTTGTGTCTGTGGGCTGGGAGGGAGGCGGGTGGGGGCTTGCCTTGCCTCCATGCGCGCCGCTATTGTCAACTCGGACATCACGCGCATCATCAACAGCGACGAGGGGGGGGAAGGGGAAGGGGGGAGAGGGTAGTGGCAAGGGGGACCAGGGGCTGTCAGGGTCGTTCAGGGTCGCAGGCGCCATCGTGAACTCGGACATCACGCGTATCATCAACAGCGATCAAGTGCAGGTGAGAAAAGGGGAGGTGTGATAGGGGCGAGGGGTGCGTAGAGCGGGTATAAGGGGAGGATACGGGCGACGGGGTTCAAGGGCTATTTGGGTCGTTCTCGCACCCGCCGTCGTCAACAGCGACCAAGTGCAGGTGGTGGGCAGAGCGAGGGGGAAGGAAGATGTTGCCTTGCTTACCAGCGTGTTTTCCACTTTCAGACACGGTAGTCTCACTTTTGCCCCCTTCAACCCATCCGCACTTGCTGATGTGCGGAGAAGAGTACTTCCATGCACCCCTCCCTCCGCCCGCCCCCGCGCCCTACTTTCCCAGCGCCCACTCTCACCACGCCCCACTCTTCCCGCATTCCACTCTCCCCGCGCCCCACTCTCCCCGCGCCCCACTCTTCCCGCGCCCCACTCTTCCCGCGCCCCACTCTTCCCGCGCGTCACTCGGAGTGCCGCACCCGATCCTCTTCCCTTCGCCAGCTTCCAGCTGTCCCATCCTCCCTCTCCCAGCAATTGCGCCCTCTGAACCGCAACACACCAGATTGTGCCGCACCACTCCACCGTATCCAACCTTTCTGTCTCCCCTCTGCCACTCCGCAACCCCCCCTCCTGCTGCTCCCTACCCTCCATCTCCCTTGCACCCTATGCCCTTGACTCCACTCCAAAACAATGTTTCTGTAGCCAAGGACTGAGGCTTCCCCTTCCTTATCCTGATGTGCCATCCCACCCTGCTTTCTTCCCTCCGCCCCCTCCCCCCCCTTCCCCCACAGAGTGTGTGCCGGCCGAAGAGGGTGGCGCCGAAGCCGCTGCACCGCCTGAAGCGCAACCCGCTGAAGAACCGCACGGCCATGGCGGTGCTCAACCCCTTCGCCGCGGAGAAGCGCAAGCAGGCCGCTGAGGCTGCCGCCCAGCCCAAGGCCAAGAAGGCCCGCGAGGTGCGTGCTGACTCTGTTGACTCTGGTTGACTGGGCTGTCTTGGTGGGATGACTCGGTTGGCTGGGTTGATGGGGTTGGCTGGGCTGACGTGATTGACTTGTGTTGACTATGTTCACTTTGGGTTGACTGGGTTGAGTTGACTGGGTCAACAGGTGGATTGGCTTGAGATGAAATGAATCGTAGCAATCGCCATGGATGTGCGCAAGCAGCCCTTATTGGCTGAGGAGAATCGATACTCAGGCTGCTTATGCAGCTGGCCTACCTTGCAGAGAGAGAGCGAGAGAGTTAAGGGCAAGATTCTACAGGAGAGAGTGACATCTGGCCTGTTCTCATCCTGCCTTGCACCCATCAACCTTCATTTCCTTGTGATCCGCCTCTTTCCGGCCCATTTCCTGCTTGTATGCATGTGTCTGTGCTCCTGTTCCTCCCTGATCCGTCATCCTGTTGCTTCGGCTTTGGTATGGGTGTGTGGGTGTGTGTGCGAGCAGACGGAGGAGGCCAAGAAGGCAGGAGAGTCATGGTACCAGACCATGATTTCAGACTCGGATTACCTCGAATTCGAAAACTTCACCAAGTGGCTCGGCGTGTCTGAGTGAAGTGTTTAGTACAGTACCAACTGAAATGTGATGTGGATGAGGAGCGAGTGTTTTTCTTTTCTGTATCGTTCACTAAGAAGGATAGGGCTGGGCAAGAAGAGCTTTTTTCCTGGCAAGTGATGATGGGCTGGAAGTCAAGTTTAATACTTGTTTACTGTGAATGTAGTTTAAATGTACTGATGCAAATAAGGCTCTAGTGGGGATTCATGAAAAGGAAAAGGTAACAGATGAGTCGAGTCTGCGTATTTTATGTATGGGAATTCTTCCATAAGACTTTACTCTACAGCGTATCTCGATAGTGTGTCCGTTGTCAATAAAGGATGTGCTTTTGCGCCCGGGACATGGTAAAGTGAGTCCGTCGCACCGCGAGCTGCGTGTTGTTCGCTCCACACGCTTTCTCCAGAGAATGGCAGCCCTTACGAGGCTCTCAGGCGGCTCGATCGCCGCCAACTTGCTGCAAGGCCGCAGCCAGCGCGATCGCCGGTCGCTTTCCGCTAACCGCGATCCGTCGTCGTTGTCGCTGACAGGCGGAGCAGCGCACGCTCGGATTTCCAGGTTAGAAAATCCCCAACGAGATTACTTTTTGCTCGTAGGACCAAGCAAGCAGCGGCGGCCATAAGCATAATAGGCACGCACCACTGCCATTTTGATCACACTTCAGGCACGCAGGAGTTATTTTTTAACATTGTTTGGTGGGTGACCGTGCGAATCCGCGAGATCCAATTTTCGTATTATCCGATCGTGCGAGAAGCTAGCTAGCTAGCGAGGATCTCCCTGCCGTGCGCGTTCTGTCGTCTTAGCGATCGCCTCTAGTCGCGCGTCCCCCGACATATCTGGCTGGCTGTATCCCTCGGCCCCTCGTCCCCTCGGCCCCTCGGCCCCTCGGCCCCAGTACGCTACTAACCATCTTCTCCCGCGTGCCTGGTTTTGTCAGTCTAGTCAACGACCCACTCAAACGTCTTTTCAAACGTTGCCGTTGCTGAAAGTGCAGGCGGACCCGCCTTCCTGTTTCCTTCCCTCGAGCTACCCTTCCCGGTGGTGCCTCTGTGTTTTGAGTCCACTCGAAACGAAACGCGCCGCTTCTGTTGCCTTTTGAGGCGTCTCAATAGTGTCTCGTCCCTCCTTTGATACGCTGATTCTGAATCTGCAGGCGGACCCGCCTTCGTGTTCCCTTCTTTCTAACCACCCGACCCGCTGCTGCCTCTGCCGCGGCCTCTGCTGCCGCTGCTGCTGCGCCGGTCAACGAATCTGTGACTATGGAGGGAGTGACAATGCGCGTCCCGCCTCCCCCGCATCCCACGTGTGACGTCATGATGGCCGTGAAAGCCGCTCTGGATGAAGACGCGGGCGATCTCGGTGCGTGGGGGACAGGAGAGCGTATGAGGGGCGAGTGCAGGAGTGACAGGAGTGTGTGCGTGAAATATCCTCCCAGATATTTCTTTTTGCGAGCGCAGTCCATCTTCCCCTTGTGATGTGTGGCACACTGTCATGATGGCCGTGAAAGTCGCTCTGGACAAAGACGCGGGTGATCTCGGTGCGTGGGGGACAGGAGAGCGTGTTAGGGAGGGCGAGTGCGCGTTTGAAAGAAGTGCGTGAGTGATTGAATGTCCTCCCAAGTAATCCTTCCTGCGAGCGCAGGCAATCTTTCACTTGGGATTTCGTTCTGACACACGTGTGACGTCATGATGGCCGTGAAAGTCGCTCTGGACGAAGACGCTGGTGATCTCGGTGCGTGGGGGTGGGGGCAGGAGGGCGTGGGATTCGTGAAGCGGCTTTGCTGGTACCCTGGCCAGTGGTTTGGTTGGTCACAGCTGAAACAGCTTGATTACAGATTCAGCCCAGAAGTCGCGTGTGCCGGCAAAAGCAGTCTCCTTCCAGGCTACGTTTTCCTCTTTCTCTTTTCTTCCCGGCTGCTTTTTTTCTCGGCTTTTTTTCTGGGTCTTTTTTTATTAGCGCACAAACAGCCCTTTTCCTGCGAATGCACCCCGTTTTCTTCTTCACGAGTATGCACCATCCCTTGCCACCATCCCTTGCCACCATCCCTTGCCACCATCCCTTGCCACCATCCCTTGCCACCATACTCTTTCCTCCTCATCAACCCCCGCTCTTCCCCCCGTCTCGTTCCCTTTCCCCCACTTCTCTCCCTGCCGATCCCATTCGCCCTCCTCTTCAGGGGATGTCACGAGTCTGGCGAGTATCCCTGCGGGCGCGCAGGCGAGCGCACAGTTCCTGGCCAAGGAGGGCGGCGTGCTGGCGGCCACCAGGCACACAAGCATACCCTGCCTTCCTGTCTCGTCCCCTCGCCCCTCTCCCGCCCTTCCCCCTCCCCTTTCTCTCACCCCCCCAGGGGACGTCACGAGTCTGGCGACCATCCCAGCAGGCACGCAGGCGAGCGCGCAGTTCCTGGCCAAGGAGGGCGGCGTGCTGGCCGGCACACAAGCATGCCCTCCCTTCCTGTCTTGTCTCCTCACCTCTCTCTGGCCCTTCCCCCTCCCCTCTCTCTCATCCCCCCAGGGGACGTCACGAGCCTGGCGACCATCCCAGCAGGCACGCAGGCAAGCGCGCAGTTCCTGGCCAAGGAAGGGGGCGTGCTGGCAGGCACCGCGCTGGCTACAGCCGTGTTTCGACTGCTGGAGCCCAGCATTCAGGTGTGACGGGGTGGGGCGAGGCACAGGGTTGGGCTTGAGCGCGCAGTTCCTGGCAAAGGAGGGCGTGCTTCCGACTGCTGAAGCCGAGCATTCAGGTGCGCGCGGCGTGGCGAGATGGAAGTAGGGAGATGGGCCGAGGCAGGCAGAGTATTTAGGGAGGGAGGCACACGCGTGGGCTTGAGTGGGTTCGACTGCTGGCGATCACTGCACTCGCACTCGCCACTGCTGTGGATCACTCCAGCAGTCGGAACACAGGTGAGCTGATGACTGTTGCACGCTGCATGCTGAACGCTGCTGGCAGCCGAGCATTCAGGCGAGCGAGGCGAGGGGACAGGGGGAGGGGAGAGAGGCGACGGCACAGGGCAGGGATAGATGCGAGGCAAAGGGTTGCGGTGAAGTGAGGGAGAGGGCGTGAGGTGAGGCGAGGTAATGGGTTGAGGGAACACGTCTTGGGAATGTGCGACCCTGGGCTGGGCATTCCCTCAACCCATTACCTCGCCCCACCGTGAATTTGCTCCTTCCTGGGCAAGGAGGGAGCGGTAATGGCAGCTGTGGCTTCATGCTGGCTGCCTTGGGATGGCTGGACGGACCGGTGATTGGGGTGCGAGAGATGAGGGCTGGGAGGAGCTATACTCGGGTTATAATCGATTGCGCAGTGGATGGGCAAGTGATGATGGATGGTACAGTGGATTTGGAATGCGTATGGCCATGGATTTTGGATTTAGGACTAATTTGCATGGGTCTGTCTGTGCATCGACATGTCAACAGCGTGACATGCATTGACCATGTCGACATGTCATTCATTCAGTGCTATCTGCATGTGCGCTGTGGATGTTATCATGTTACCTTACCTGCATACTGCGTGCTGGTCTGCTGCTGCTGCACGGCATGGTGCATGGTGCACGGCATGGTGCATGGTGCATGGGAGCAGGTGGAGTGGAGCAAGGAGGATGGGGACACGGTGGAGAAGGGCGAGGTATTTGCCACGGTGCACGGCTCCGCGCATGCCATCCTGCAGGGCGAGCGCGTGGCACTCAACTTCATGCAGCGCATGAGCGGCATCGCCACGTCCACCAGGGTGAGTCAGCATTGCCACGTCCTCCAGGGTGAGTCAGCACTGTTACAGGCTGGGTCAGCAGAGGGAAGGGCCGAGTCAGCACAGGGAGGCCTGGGTTAGAGATCAGTTAAGCGGCTGAGTGGGTGGGTAGTGGGTGGGTAGTGTGTGGGTTTATTGGATGGGCGGATAGAGTGACGCGACCCACATTTTGAATGCTGTGTCAGGTAACAAGGTAACATGGTAACATGGTAACATGGTAACACGGTAACATGGTGACATGGTGACATGGTGACATGGTGACATGGTAACATGGTAACATGGTATCATGGTAACATGGTAACATGGTGACATGGTGACATGGTGACATAGTGCACATAGCAACTTCCCGTCCCTCCCATTTCCCTCTCCTCCACCTCTCCCCCACATTTCCTACCCTCCTCTCCCGGCAACCCGCTCTGCCACAGCAGCTTCCCTTCAATCATTTTCCCCCGCTCTCCCTGCCCTTCCCCATTCCATCTTCCCCCCGCTCCCCTCCCCCCTCCCCTTTTCGCCCCACATGGCAGGCCATGGTGGAGGCAGCCCGCCCTGCCACAGTGCTAGAGACACGCAAGACTGCCCCGGGACTCAGAATCACAGACAAGTGGGCGGTGAGTGTTGTCTCGTAGCGCACTTGCAAGCCTGTGAATCTCTCTATCTGTCAACCTGTCGATGAGAGTTGGCTACAAGAGTGAGTTAGAGGGAGGGGGACTGACATAGTGGCTTGACGAGGCGTTTTGGGCATTGTCAAGAAACGCCCGCAATAAGAAGGGTATGGAGTGGCTTGACTAGGAGAAGTGTAGGGGCCAGGGGTCTGGCCCTGAAAATCGTGTGGGGGAAGTTGAGTGGCATGGGAAAGCAGGATTTCAGCCACCGGAAATAACTTTTGAGGCGCCTCACAAATTTGAGCCACCGGAAATAACTTTTGAGGTGCCTAAAAGATTTCAGCCACCGGAAATAACTTTTGAGGCGCCTAAAAGATTTCAGCCACCGGGAATAACTTTTGAGGCGCCTAAAAGATTTTAGCCACCGGAAATATATCTCCGGTACGCCAAGAGCGCTAAGTGAAAGCAAATGCGGACTTACTCTCTTGCCTCTCACAAGTGACAAGCGGTGATCGGCGGGAGGCAGAGCCACCATGTGGGCTGTATGACATGCTGCTGGCCTTTGAACCAACTCAACACTCGTCCCTATATGTATCACGCTGCTCTCTGTCTGTCCCGGATGCCAATAGGCCGGGGGCGCAGCCACGGGGTGGGGCTGTCTGTACAGCCTACCACTTGTTCTGTGAAGTGGCTCAGACGGCGTCGCTACCCTACCGCCCTCTGTCTGTGTCCCAGGTGCTGATAGGAGGGGGGCAGAACCACCGAGTGGGGCTGTACGACATGCTGCTGGTGAAGGACAACCACATCGCTGCTGCTGGTGGTGTGCCGGCCGCTATCAGCTCTGCCAGAGAGTACATCCGATCCAACGGCCTGGATCTCCCGGTGGAGGTGGGTGAAGGTGGGGAGAGTGAGTAGGTGGCGGTGTGAGGAGGGGAGAGTGAGTAGGTGGTGGTGTGAGGAGGGGAGAGTGAGTAGGTGGCGGTGTGAGGAGGGGAGAGTGAGTAGGTGGCGGCATGAGGAGGGGAGAGTGAGTAGGCGGTGGTGTGAGGAGGGGAGAGTGAGTAGGTGGCGGTGTGAGGAGGGGAGAGTGAGTAGGTGGCGGTGTGAGGAGGGGAGAGTGAGTAGGCAGCTTGGATCGGGCCTGGTGGACGATGGGTCAATGGAACGATGGCCATGCTCTCCCCCTTCACCCCTCCCTATTGCCCCTTTGTCACTCCCCCCGCCCTTCTTCCCTTGCCTCACCCCTCCCCCTCACGCACACCTCGAAATGGAGGCTGAGACCGGGCTTTGAATGAGCTCCAGGAGATGCTGAGGTGAAGGTGTGGGAGGGTTTATGTTCTTTCTTCACTCCCCCTCGCCCTTCTTCCGTTCCCTCACCCATCCCTCCCACACTCACCCGTCACTCCAGGTGGAGGCACGCACGTTGGATGAGCTTCAGGAGGTGCTGAGGTGTCGTGGTGAGGGTGTTGGGCGGGTGACACGGGTGATGCTGGACAATATGGTGGTGCTGCAACCAGGGGGAGGGGATGGTGGAGGTGCAGTGCATGTGGACGTGTCCATGCTGCAGCAGGCAGTGAACATGGTGAACGGGCAGCTCGAGACCGAGGTAGGCAAGGAGTGGGGGAAAATTTCTTGGAAAATCTGGGAAAAGTGGGGGTCTGTGTTCACCGAGATTTTGGTGGTGCGAAAGTCCATGCTTATGGTTGTTTGCTGGTCGTTTCTTTTGCAGGCGTCGGGCAACGTGACTTTAGAGACTGTCGGTGCTATTGCTGCAACTGGTGTTGATTTCATCTCAAGGTTTGTTGCCTATATTGTTTTTTATGTCTGCTTTGCATCTTCGGCAGTGGTGCTTTTATTCTCTAGCATGTGTTCTTATACCACCTTGTGCTTCTTGTGTTGTGCATGCAGTGGTGCTTTGACCCATTCTGTAAAAGCGTTGGATATATCGCTCAACATTGACACAGAGCTTGCACTAGACGTTGGTCGAAGGACAAATCGTGCTTAGCCAAATGCTGGACATATTGTGAGCTTTTCTATGTTCAAAGTGTGTTTTGCAACTTCGTATGTGTGAAATATCAATGGCCATAGTGGACAAGGTTTGACAACATCGAAGGTCTCCATACCGGCAAATTCGCGCGGTAGCCGTTGATGATGCCGCGCGAGCTTTTCGTCACCTGAGCTGGAAAATTCGTTGTCAACGTGTCGAGCAAGCCCCAACCTCCGCCAGGCACACCGCAATGGCGCTGGAAGCTGGGTGAGAGTTGGTGGAGCTCGGTCCGCTGGTATTGCATCTTGCACTTGCTGGTTTTCCCTTGCACACCCTGCTAGATCTCCTACCTCTCCTGGATCACTCCAATTCAAACTGGCCAAGTACAGTGCACTTTACAAACATGAGCAGCAACCCTTCTATGGAGGTCCCGAAACCGTGCATGTGTCGGCGCTGATGCTTGCTCAATCTGATTGAGGAGACTGGCTAGCCCGTAGTAGGAAAACGTCATTAGTTGCTAGGTGCGTCGTTGATTGCTAGCTGCCTGTCAGATGGCGAAAAGGTCGAAGGAAGACGCACTTTGCAATGGCGAAGTGCGTCCGCTTTTGGATGACCAAGCCGTTTCTTCGTCTCAGTATGGTTCAGTAGTCCCCCCTGGTCTTAATTCCAATGACGATTCAGGCCCGAAGGAAGCTTTAGCACGATGCCTTTCCAAGCCGATTCAACACGAAAGCTTAGATTATGAGTGAGTGGGACGCTTTGCGCTTCTGTCATCGTTCAGAGACGATTTCATGGATACGAAGTGACTTAGCTTTCCCTTCACGTTCTCTTTCAGGGTCCTTGAGTCTGCAATTCACGACGAGGACTGGCGCTCAAGAACGCGCGTAGAGCACCTTCAGTACACATTGCTGAAATGGCTCTTTGTCCTGCTCGTTGGCGCTGCTACGGGAGCTGTCGCTTTTTTCATAAACATGGGTGTCGAAAACATCGCTGGCTTCAAGTATCAGATGGTCCGTAAATACATGAAGACCGAAAGGTGAGCCTCGATTGTGCTGTCAATGACTACGTTAGTCCATTGACTCTGATGCTACTACCGCTACGGCCTTACTCTCATCCCCTGCTTCAGTTTGCTTGCAGGCTTTTTTATTCTAGTGTGTTCCGACGTCTCTCTCGTCCTCTTCTCGTCGCTTCTCTGTAATGTAATTTCAATGGAAGCTGCCGGTTCTGGTATCCCGGACGTCAAAGCGTATCTCAACGGAGTAGATGCTCCAAGAATATTTGCAGCGAAGACACTGTTTGTCAAGGTACTGATTTTTCTTATCATTCGAATCTCTATCATGAGAGGGTGGCATTTAATTCCTAGTATTGTCTTCCTACTCGCAGATCTTCGGAAGTATAGGCTCTATCGCTGGTGGTCTTGCTGTGGGAAAGGAAGGTCCGCTTGTTCACACAGGGGCGTGTATTGCAAACGTTCTTGGTCAAGGTGGCTCTCGGAAGTACCATCTTACATGGAAATGGTTGCGGTACTTCAAGAATGACAGGGACCGGAGGGATTTGGTGACATGTGGTGCTGCCGCAGGTGTTGCTGGTGCCTTTAGAGCTCCTGTGGGTGGTGTGCTCTTTGCCCTGGAAGAAGCAACCTCTTGGTCAGTGAAGTTGCTTTTGGTCACCGTGTTGATCTGCTGAAGAAAAGCCTCATTGGAGCCTTCGTTGTTGCTTTGCTGTGCAGGTGGCGAAGTGCTCTTCTCTGGCGAGTTTTTTTCACAAATGCCGTTGTGGCCATGGTCGTCCGTGCTCTTATGACCTATTGTGCCAATGGACACTGTGGGCTTTACAATGGGGGAGGGTTTATCATATTTGATCATACAGAGGCGAAAACGGAGTTTGGAGTGGTGGAAATGTTTCCAGTCATTGGGTTGGGAATCATTGGAGGAATTGCAGGGAGCATTTTTAACCAGCTTAACCTCTCGCTATGCAAGTTGAGACAGCAAGGAAGCAGGTAAATCGGTTGCACCATCATCAAGTTTCTCTCGCTCTGGGCTTGATTGTTGATTTTGTCGTCTTCTGCTGCATTCATATTCGGATTGTTCTTTATTATTGTTTCAGGCGTGGAGTGTGGAAAATTGTGGAGGCATGTGCAGTGGCAGCATTGACATCTGCAGTTCGATTCTCCGTGCCATTCCTGGTCAGGTGTCAGCAGTGCCCGGATGGGATTGAATGCCCCAGCAAGACAGAGATGGGGTATTACAAGAGCTTCACTTGCCCTCCGGGCCACTACAACGACATGGCTGGCCTGCTGTTTACACCCAACGATGATTCCATTCGAAGCCTTCTCAGCAGCGGAACCCATCATGCATTCTCGTGAGCACCCATCTACCTGACTACACATCTCCACTCCACACTTCACTTCAAATTTTTTTTAAAATGGGTTTCTCACGGTTTGGTGCCTTGCCCTGCAGGTTCACCTCACTTGGCATTTATTTCTGCTGCTTCTACTTCTTGTCCATCCTCACATATGGCATCACTGTGCCATCGGGCCTTTTTGTGCCTGCAATTGTCTGTGGTGCAACTTACGGCCGCGTGGTTGGAAGAATCATGTCCAACTATGCACCAGCAGACAACCTGGATGAGGGGACTTATGCACTTATTGGCACAGCATCTTTCCTGGGAGGGTCCATGAGGACAACTGTGTCTCTCTGTGTGATTCTCCTGGAGTTGACTGGAAGCTTAAAACTGCTCCCACTTATCATGATTGTTCTGCTGGTTTCGAAGACGGTCGGTGACATGTTCAACAGCGGGATTTATGATGCACACAACCAGCTGAAGGGGATCCCTTACCTGGAGGCTCATCCTGAGGAGGCCATGCGGCATTACACTGCCAAAGACATTCTCGTCTCCGAGCCGGTGAAGTTCTCAGGCGTGGAGAGTGTGGAGCGGATCTACGATACACTTCGCACTACAAACCACAACTCTTTCCCGGTCATTGACACCCATGAAGATGGCTCAACATCCTTCTACGGACTTGTCTTGAGAGGTCATCTCTTGGTGCTCCTACGGTCAAAGCAGAGCTTTCTGCTCCATCCGCAAGTGTCTGAAACTGTCCAGAAGCACCTTGCAGCAGAGGATTTTGGTAAGCCAGGATCAGGGAAGGGGCTGAAGCTGGAGGACATTCAACTGAGTGAAGAGGAACAAAAAATGTTCCTAGACCTGCATCCTCTAGCCAACAGATCTCCATACATTGTGCCTGAGAGCATGTCTCTCAACAAGGCATACATGCTCTTCAGACAGCTGGGCCTTCGTCATCTTTGTGTGGTTCCCAAGCCGACTCATGTTCTGGGCATCATAACCCGCAAGGATCTGCTGCCTCAGAATTTCAGTGAGCGGAATGTGTCTCAGACTTCATTAGTTTAGGAGTGTACTTTTTTTCATTCATCCACTCAATTAACAAATGACTGCTGCGTAGGGGGCATAACAAGGGTGCAAGGGCACCGGGGAAGTGACATACCATCTCCCGACGTAGATACTGACCTTGTGATGGAAAAACAGACTCTAGCAACAAACTAGCCCTTGTGAGGGATTCCCTCGCTTCTCTAAGCCCTTCGATGCCCTTGCTCCTCTTCCAGGCCTAGTCCAGACCTTCTCCCCCTTCCCCCCAGCCTTAGGTCCCCTCCCCAGGTCCCCTCCCCATGCCCCCCCTCGTGAAGTCTCGCACCAGCCCAGCCCCCCCTTCCTTCTCGCGTCCCTCCACCCAACCTGATCCCTCGCAGCACCTCAATGCCACGTGCATGCCCCTCAACAGCCACACGCCTGTCAGCTAGCGAGCTGTCAGCGCCACGCCATGGGCGCGTTCATTAACAAAAACAAGTGTGATTATGCTAGACAAGGGTGTTAGCTGAATCAGACTATGCAAATGTAATAGTCTGAAAAATCAGACTAAGCTCCAACATTCGTCTGGAAAATCAGACCAGAAAAATATGCCCATCTGATCGTCAGACGGAACGATTTTTTACTTTGGTGTTTTCAGACAAGCCCAAATCCTAGCAAGAGCCCTGAACTAGATGCCCTCGTGGCTGGTGTCAACACCGAATGGAACAATTTATGCAGATTACAGGGTCAATCAGGAGGTCTCTGTACATTTGCTTTAGAATGAAAGGGAGCCCAGGGCCCACATTATCAGAGTAAATTACTCTGTTTCTCTGAAAATCAGAGTTATTTTTTAGAGGAACTCTGTACCTGCTAGGTTATGATTTTGGTACCGTAGTTGTGTTTTCTCTGATGTATCAGAGTTTAGGTATAGGTCACTCTGAGGGCCCTGGGTTTTTTTTCTAAGGATAGTGTTAACTCTGTACAGAGGATACAGGCCCCCTAGCCGAGCCCCCCCCACCCTTTCCCCAATTACCGGGGTTTCCCCGATTCGCCGAGCACAGCATCAAGATTCGCTTCGTCTGTTGACGGCATTTTGCGCGCTGATTGGCTGGAGTGGCAATTTTCCCAGCCAGCGCACATTGTTAGCCACATCCACATCCACCTCCCAAGAAAACACCACCTGTAGTCCGACTCACGGCACAGGAGAAGAAGGAGATGCTGTATTTGAAGGCCCAGAAGAGCTACACGGCGGACTGGCTTCCGCGGTTCCCATGGTTAATCCTTGATAAATCGACTGACGGTTTTCCTTGTGTTCGCTGCAATGTCTGTATAGAGCACGGGAAGGACGATGCTCGCTACGGCCGCAATGGGAAAGGAGGTCGGGACCTCCAGATTGGGTCATTTCGCTGGCACGAGGAGAGCGTGAAGCACGACGATGCCATGA